TCTGTCCCTCTGGCTACTCTCTCTGGCTGCTTCAGGGCTGCTTCAAGACTTTTGTGCCATGGCTTCCAGGCCTCACACATCAAATCTTGTAGTCTTTGCTGCATCCCATCAGGAGAATGACAGCAGCCGTAAATGACTGAATTCAACAGACTGGAGTGATGACAGCAAGCATGGGACACTCAGTTTAGTACCTCTGGGGCAGTTGCTTGGTTTCCTGTCCCCTCAAGGCTAGCCCTGAAATCGTGGGGGCATTAGGAAGGACACTGAAGGCCGAAGAGGTGGATTTAGGGAAGGAGGTTTTTAGTATCTTTGCTGGACAGAGACAGTGTAGTAGGAGCTGGGAAGGATAGTTTGCTGGGAGATAATGAGAGGAATGCAGCTGCACCTGTACAGACTGTCTGCACGTCAGCTGGATATCCCATGGGACAATTTCAAAGGCACTAAAGGCATTTAGGAACCCAAGTTCCATTGAAAGTCATTGACTTGAAAAATCTCCCCGTGTGTTCACTGCATGAAAAAGGGTATCTGACGTGTGGTCATGACATGAGTGCTGTACCCTGTGTTTCTGTCGAGAACAGTTTGAAGGGAAACAGCTGGCTGTAAGACTAGAGAAACTCTGAGCAGCAATCCATAAATTACTGTCCTGTTCTGAAAGGTACCTATGTAAAAATAGTACCTTCTTACTCAACAGATATGTTCCCAGTGTGTAAACAGAGTCAGAGTTAGTGACTAGTGACAAATAGAAGACTTTATATCTTTTTTGCAGCCCTGAAAAGCCAATGCAGCTGATAGGATAGGGAAATTAGATCCTAATCCAGGTACCAGCAGAAATATTTATTAAGGCCCAATCACTTGTCTCTGTGAAGACTCTCTGAGGAGCTGAGGGTTGTACAGGAGCTGCCATGGACTGATATTCAGCTTGCAGCACATTTTGCAGTAGTGAGGAAAGAAAGGAACTAGCCTGGGATTGATTTCATTGCCCAGAGGGAGTTTGCAGAGCTGGCAGTCAGAGAGAAAATACTGCAAACTAGTAAGCTGATTTTATGTGATATGGTCAGTAAAGTAGCTTCCACCAAACAATTGTTGCTGGGGCCTTTTCCAGAGTGAAACTGCTTTTTAGTTCACCCTTACAAATCTCACTCTGCATGTATGTGCTGGTCTGCACAGAGGTCTTTGCAGAAGGCAGAGCTATACTTGTCATACCTAAGAGTATTTACCCCATCCAGACAGCTGCAAATCCATGCCTTTCCTTCAGAACTGTGTTGAGTTATACCTGAGCAATCCCAGGGAAATAACATGTGAACTTTTAATAAATCCCCATTTTGACAGACTTTGTCAGGCCAGTGTAAAACTGTTCCTTCTCCTTAGATGTCTGATGGAACACAGCTCTAACAGTGCTAGTTCTGTTACAAATCCATAGAAGAGGGAGAGAACTTCTATGACCCTTTGGTGTCTGGGCATGAATATTCTCAGAATTTCTACATCTTTTACAGCTTTACTTAACAAAACTCTGTCCCTTTCTTATTTTCACATGCAAAGGCTTGCAGGATTTGAGTTAGGCAGCTTTGTCTAGAGTGAGTAACATCAACAGTTTAAGAAAAGCAGCAGAAGTAATTATGTCGCTTTTATCCAGGAATAGAGTAGCTAGCAGAATTAATAAAGGGCTATTTACCCATCCACCTGTGATCACTTCCTCAAACAAAGATCAAGTCTAAAATTATTGTCATTTACAAACTGCACATTAGTGAACATGAAAGAACTGAAGGCCTTGGCTCAGTTCCCAGTTGCACATCACAGCCTGCACTACTGGACAGATATGAACTGTCCCCTTGTTGGTATCTCAGCTGAGAAGGGTCAGGACCAAGTAGCTTTGATGCTGAATTCCACTCTCACCCCTGGAGCTCATGACAAAGCAGTCTGTGCTGTGGAGAAACAGAGCTTTTTTAGATTCCAGAGCTGACAGTTTGGTCCATTGTAGGAACATAGAACTGCAGAGACCTTTCTGGGTAACTCCTGTTATTGCAGGTAGCCATGTTACCTAATCTTTTCCACTAAGTGACCAAAGCTCCATTTTATAATTATCCAGGCTATCTATGCCCCAGAAGGCCATTTCAAAACATTGCTTTTTAGCTAGAAAATAAAACAACACAAATAACCCTCCTTTAAATACATTTAAATACATTTAAGGAAATAATTTGACCTCTGTTTTATTTGGGGCCTGTTTTTCTGGCTGATTCAATGTTTGTATATATCCTCCAACATCTGTTCATCTATTCATTCATATTCAGTTAAGTAAGGTATTTGAATGTCTTCAGAAATGAATGTATTACGATACTCGACTGAATATGTGCTGGCAGTGACCTACTGCTATGGATGAACAGTTTGGGCTATCTGCAGAGAGGCTCTCCATTTCATTACAAGGTCCATTAACACAGTGCATATCTTAGGAGATGAAGGGTCAAGACCACCTTTGAGAAACCTGTATGGAAGCTGAGGATTTGTTTAGTTTATATTGTACATTTTTCATAGGAGGGTGAGGGGCACAAGGAGATCTAAGAGGTGATGGAATGATGCTAACATTCCTCTTGTCCTTGCAGGCTCGGGGATCTGGAGGTGGCAGGAGACGGAATGATGCTGCCTCCCAGGATGATCATGACAAACCCTATGTTTGTGACAGTAAGTAGCACCCAAACAGCTGATTCTGCTTCCAGCCTGGTCCTATCAGCTCAGTGCACTCAGGGCTTCATCTTTTCCCTTTCAGCAAAATATTCTGCTGCTCTCTGACTTGCATGTTTGCCACCTGCTGCTGCTGCTGCTCTTGGTGTTTTTGCATGAAGGAAATAAAATTAAGTCTTCGGCAAGACTCCAATTCCTTTTGCCCTTTAATAAATCATCTCTTATAGTTTCTTACTCTTTCTTTTTCTGGCTTCTCTGCCTTTTGTCATCTTTTCCCCCATGTAAGATTCACCCTCTATTTCTTTCTCTGTTTCAGATAGTTACAAACAAAAGCATAACTCAAAAATCTCCGACAAAGGTACTTCAGCCTTGTATCTCTTGATGTATTTGGTGATTCTCTTTCCTTCAGTCCTTTTAAAGTCTCACTGGGCTAAATTCTGAAGGTCTTATTCTTATCCCTCACTTGGAAAGTAGTATTCTGGCATCATCAGGAGTCAAGCCCTTCTAAGACAAAAACAACATCTGGAATGCTTTGTTTTGATACATATTCCCTTTGAATATGGCCATACTGCTTGATGTCTTGCAGCAGGACTGCAGGTGAAGTAAGGCATTACCCCAGCCAAAAAATGATACTAGAGCCCAATGCTGACACTGAAGGAGGACACCAGAGTCCTAGTGTGAGGGAGGGTTTTGGGTTTTTTTGCAGTCTAGTCCTTGGAGCTTTCCTTCTTCTTTTGATATTCTCTTGCTTCAGTATGTAATTTCTGTTAAAGGCACTTACCCTACCCCCAAGTTTTTGAAGTGTCCCATCTTAAGGCTTACTGTAGAGTGTACATGCAATAATAATTTGTGCTACCAGGTATCTTCTATCCTATAAGATATCTATATCCTATAAGACGATAATATAACAAAAGTTAATAGAAGTAGGAGAACAGCAGGAGATCTTCACTTGTCATCCAAATCTGTTTGGTGGTTTTGAGGACAATTAGAATCCCCCTTTCTCTACCATTTGTATATCTTACAATGTTATTGTCCTTAAAAGAATAACCATTACTATGTCAATCTTTGGAGGTATTTTCTGCTTATTTTTTAAAACATGAAGAAATAAGGAGCAAGCACAGTAAATAACTATATTCCATGTGATGAAATCATATTCTTGTATGGTGAGACCAGGCAACTGCACAGTACAGTGATGGATGTGTTGGGTATTACGCTTCAGCAAGGTGAATATTTTGCAGGCATAATTAATAAGCAGAAATGGAAAAACTTTCACATGGATGGGACTGTCTAAACACATGACCAAGGAGGAACAGCCCTTTAAGATATGAAGAATCAGAAGACTTTTGCTCTGGTTCAATAGCTGTCCTGGTGTGTTAGAAGAACTGAAATGTGTCTTCTATGACTTCTCTGAGAGCCCAGTATACATCTTGCTGAAATCCACAAGTTTTCTCTGCTGGTATATGCCTAACTGTCTTTATCTCTTTTCTGGAACATTCTTCTAAATCCAAGGACACTTGTCAGGGATTTTTGAACATAATGAGTCTTTATTGTCTGTTCTTGCATTGCTTTTGGAATTTACTGAGAACTCACAACATGCATAGTAGTGATTTGCACAGAGTAGATTAAACATCAAAGATGTCAAAGCAGGCAGCAATCTGGCCTGAAGGATCCCATACATTGTTGCATCAATCGAATTTTGTCTTGGCTTACATTTTGGAGCATAAATTTCCCCTTTGGTTTTTGAAGTATTAAACTTTACTGTTTCATTTGGCTGATAACTTTTATTTTTAGGAAACATAGAGGTGAGTCATAAGGAGTTTTGAAATCCAGATTTTGCACACTGACTCCTCCTTTTCCATTGTAGATAGCTGAGAAAAGGGTTATTTGATAGCAGGACTCTTTTACCTAACTGTGGAGCAGAAGGAAGGAACTGTCAATTGTAAGGCCATCATCCTGAAGTAATATCCTGCCTTCGCTACCTTTCTGTAGAAATATTACATGCAATTAGTGATGAATAATTGACTTATTATTGAGGTCTCTTTCCTGCTTGGGTGGATTTCTTGAATCAACTGTTTAGAAAAAAATATTTGCTAAATATTTTTATAGATAAAACTCAATCTAATTGTGATAGGTTAGAAATTGGTTTGCAGTACTCCATGTGCAGATGTTTTGGGCGGACAGGTTTGTTTTATATGGAAACATGCAGGTCAAAAACAGTGAATGCATTTCCTGTTTGGGGAAGCATGATTCCCTCAATCACATTAGTGGTATAAATAATTGCCTTAATGGGTCAACAGTTTACTTTTTCTGTATATTATTTAATTTGCCTCCAATTTGATTTTTCTGGAAGTATTCTGATATTTGAGTTTTGGAAATGACCACAAATAAGAAAGCATAAAACAGCTTAATTTTCTTATTAAACTGCATGGGCACAAAAATGATTTGTGGTAAAGAATTTACTTTGCTCTTTTATCACATTTACACATTCATATTTATGGGAAACAAGACTACATCACCAGATTTCATCAACATAAAAAGGTTATAAGAAAAAACTACTCTATGTGTCAGTAAGATGACACAAGAGTGATACCATGATGCCACTGCTCCTTGTGTTGGAAGATACCAATGTTATTTCTGAAAAGACTTGCCTTCTTTGTAAGAGGCATTCAGCTATACACCAATATTAAACTTGGTCCCAATATTAAAACTGGAAATATGGAATTTCTACATGGAAGAAGGTTTTCAAAGCTCAAAATGTTGTGTCATCCCATGTTTTTAAGAAAAGGTGGTTGGTTGCTTGTTTTGTGGAATGAAGTATTCTGAAATAGTTTAGTTGATTTTATTGAGCATATACTGTATCAGAAGTTCAGAATAAAGTGTTTAACCATTCAAAGCATCAATACAGTTGCTAGAATAACCATGAAATACATCAGTTCATCAAGTCACCAAGAAGAAAATTAGTTGGTCAGATTTTCAGTTAGTTGCACTGGATAGTGTTGTGCCTTGAACTTCCTGGGGAGAAATGCTTCAGTATTCAAAGTGGCAAGGCAGTCTGGTGTGAGATGGGTATAGGCTGGTAATGGTAATATAGCCACATGGGTCAATAGGTGAATGAGATCAGTCCCAAACGTAGCTTGAACATCTGACTGGGAGACATAGCAGATGCTTCAAAGGATAGTGAAAAGTAGGGCTTGAGGAGCAAAGCAAGGCCTCTGATGTCAAGCAAGAGCAGTGGAAGACACACCACCACCACTGTTTGTCATAAACTGGACATGAGATTTTTATAGGAGGGACAGAGGAAATGAATGTATGAATACCTATGTGTCTAATAAGAATTGATGTTATGTCATTGTCAAGTATGCAGCTGGGGAACCATTATTTCTACCAAGCAGTCTTCTTAAAAATCTTTCCACTATTTTCATAGTGTTTATCATATATTATTTACTAGTTTTTTTAAAAATAGAACAATCTTCCCTGAAGTTTTATCTAAAAACTTATGTTCTGGTTTAAAAGTTGCAATCAGTTACCTGAACTTCAAATGTCTACTTCCTGTAGCCAGAGTAGTTTGTGCTGAATCTCTGTAAGTTACTAACTCTGCTGCTGTTGCTCCTCATTTGCCTGCTTTCATCCTTCTCAAGTTCCCATGGAGACATACAACTATGTACATACTTCCAACTTTGTTTTCTGTCTCTCTATCTATGGAAGTTTTCCCTTGCCTGTCTGTAAAAGAAGTTGTTTCTTTTGTTCCTTTTTACCAATATGTCCTTGTCTCCTTTTAGTTTTATTCCCACATAAACTCCTCTTTTAGCATAGCAACTTATATTTGGATCATATCCTTTATGTGTAGTCCCTCTGAGGCTAAGCTACGCATTCAGATCCATTCCTTGTGCAAAATGAGAGTTGACTGAAACCTTCCTATGATCTCTAGTGGATCAGTGACTAATGCAACATTGTGCATACCCAGGACACTGATCCTATCGTGTTTTGTAGAAGACTACTCTTTTGTCAAAAATTTTGCAGGTTTCTCTAGTTTTTTAGTCTAAAGTTTCTCTGCTGCAGTCCAAGACTAGCAGTCCTTGCACTGTTCTCAACGGATAGCAATGTCTTCTATTTCTGTAAACAGTTGCAGGGACTTATTTCAGCTGTGTTTTCTTCAGCTCTTTTACTAAGCTTGTTTCTTTTACCTGAAAAGACTCCAAAGGGTCTTATTTAATAATAGTGGCCAGAACTAAGTTGAATGTGCTGTTCTGAGGATAGAAGCAGTTCAGAAGATGAATGATTGATATGTTTACATGTAACTTCCAATTATTTATAGAAATTATATTTGTGCAACTTGCTCTGTGATGTATCTATGTGAGGTACAGAGATGGCTGACCTAACAGGTTGTTCAGTGCAAGATGCTCCTCTCCAGTGCTGTGTCATGTTTCAGTGACAAAGGAGCTTTCATTCTTGTCCACCCTGTGAGTTCATATTTAATATACCATTTGCTATGGCTTCTTGTTCCTTCCCTGTTCAGCCTGTTTCTTCTCAGGCAGTCTGATACAAATCCATCATATTTAGTATCCTCATTATGTGGCTTTGTCCTGTTTACACTGTGTTTTATTTGTTTTTACTAGATGTCATATTAATGTTTACTAATTACATTACTGTTTGAAAGAATTCTTTGATTAATGAATCTCATATGATATATTTTTATTATTATTCCAATATTTTCACCAACAATCCATTCTCTGCATGTTTGATGCTTTCACTCTCTATTCCACCCTTCAAATTAATGATAAAACCAGAGGCAAGGATTGGACTCTCTCAGGTGTTTGAAGATGCAGAAAGGTGCCTTGTGGAGATTAAAAATAGTTAGGCTCCTAATTCTCACTGATTTCAGCTAGAGGTAAAACAAAACTGTTTCCCATGGATATCCCACTAAGTGCCTGTCTGCTTGTGTTGTGCCTACAGATCATATAAGTGTTGGTCCCTAAGTGAACACTTTGGACTTGACTTTG